AGCTCGTACATACATCATGGACCAAATGAGCTGAATCACTACCTGCAAATGGACATGTCCTACATGACGAAGAAGGAGAAACGTGAGATGGATGTGCTTCAATGGTGGAACCAACATCAAAGTTTATTCCGCATTGTAGCCCAAATGGCACGTGACATTTTATCTGTGTCAGTTTCTACAATTGCATCCGAGTCAATATTCTCAAAAGGTGGCTGGATTGTTGAAGACAAAATATGCTCTTTAACTAATGAGATGATTGAAGTGAGCATTGATGTGCTATCGTAGGCAACCAAGATTAAAAACCTTCCTAACCTAACGACTGAACTGTAAATAGGGTAAGCAAGGGACGATCCCACGAAGAGTGTCTAGCTGAATTTTTGATGATGTGAATAAGGCTAGGGGATTTTGAGTAAAACAGAAAACAATCATAGCCAAAAATAAAAACAAAACAAAAACAATTCAATTCGAAATCAATTAATATAACGAAACTTAGTCTCTGTCAACATCCACCATCGGAATCTTACAACTAATCATTGATGCAAAAGTAAATCAATTCTTACTTTGAATATTCACCGTTGGAACTATCTTCCTACCTCTCCTTAATTGTAATTAATTAGGAAACAAGCGATCTTAATTAATTTTACCATTAAACAACCCTAAACAAGCGCTAAAGATTTAATCTAATGGCAGCCTTAAGAATTAGAGAAATCCATGAAACTAAACAACACAAACAAAATCGGTTGTATTTAATTTAGTTGAATGTTCTTCTTAAGATTACTAATTCCCGACGCAACAAATTATTAACCCTAATTGCTTCACAAGTTAGAGGGATCAAACAATTACGAATTTGATATCAAACTTAGTAGTAGATTGCAACAAATAATACACTAGTAGGCCTCCTATTAATTAAATGCATTAATCATAAAGATATGCACAGAATAACATTCAATACTCAAACACGAAAATTGAACACTAAAATAAAATAGATTAGATCTCACAGTTGGTTGATTCCGAGGTCTCGGTTTCCTTCGACCAAGTTACAAAAGTTTTAGCCACTCATGGCCATCAACAAAATTCAAAAGAAAGAAAAATTCCAGAGAAGAGAAGAGAGAGGCATGGGCCCCCCCCACACAAAACCCTAATCTGATCTCTCCCTTAAAAATACCCAATTCGAATTCTAATCCTACTCAATCTCCTAAAAATATTCTAATATCCTAAAAAATAACACTTATCCTAATCTGATTAATTGAAAATAAAATAAAGTCATAATGAAATAGGAAAGTGGTGTGTCCAGCTGTAATTTTTTGCAATAGGTCTTCAAATCTTCCAATAAAAATTTGCCTATTTGAATTGCATGACAAGGCAGAATGTTTTAGAACGTCCAGTGTAGATGCGTCAACTTCAAGCTCGATTACAACCTTGATGCAGCGAGTATCTCTCCAAACTCAAAACATGAAAGTTGTAGATATCTTTCTTATGTTCCACAACATTTTGAATCATCTCAATCGGAGCTCGGATGAGAGAGTTATGCCCAGATTACGAAACAACATAGAAACTGTCTGAATTCACTTAATTAGTTCCGTTTTGCAATTAACGCCTCCATTTGCATCCTAAATCAAAATAGAATAATAATGAGTACATTTAGGCAACAAATACGTATAAAAGACTAAACATTAAGGGGGGTAAATATGATATTTTGCATTCTCATCAAATTTGTTTACGAGATCAGACTCATGCAGAGAGAAGACTACAAAAGCACCTTGAAGATCCCGAACTACTCGAACTCTTTAGGAACACAGATTTGAATGATGTAAATATTGTTGACGATGTAGATGAATAATTTAATAAAAACAAATTTATTTAATTGCTTATTTGTTAAGGGTGAATGTGTGATTGTAAATTAATTAATTAAATTATCTCTTTAAAGTTTAAATTTAAAACACCCCATATTTATAAATAATTATTAATTATAATTAACCATTAATTTATTTATTATTTTGTTAATTTTTAAAATTAATTAAAAATGTACTAATCTCCCCCTAAAAATTACATAAACCCCCATACATAATTTATTTGGTCCCTTAAATATAAAAAAAGTTTTGCCGGGGGGATGGAATAAATTTTCCAGGCCCATAAGATTGGTCCGGGCCTTGAAATTTCTCATGGGCCTAGGACTGGTCCCAAATGGGGCTAGTCCCGTTGAGATCAATCCTAATCGGCCCACACCTAGACCCGGTTGGGACCAGTCCTTGCCCAGGTCTACACACACACTCTCTCTCTCTTGTTTTTCTTTTCTTTGAACTTCCACTATTGACTCAGTTCACAAAACATCTCTCTCACTCCCGTTTCACACACAAAAGTGGATTTTTGTTAGGAACAATTTTGGTTTTGGCTATTTTTATATGAACATGCTGTTTCTTCTCTGTACATTTTGGTTTGGTGATTCCTTTGGCAAAATTTTCGTTGCAAAGATTAGGTAAAGAGATTGTGTGACTTTTTTTTTTTTTTTGGATATTCGCTTTGTTTGATAGGTTGTTGAGAAAATTGAAGAAAGTTCTTATATTGATAATTCTTATGATAAAAATCTGATCTTTATTATTTTCAAAAATGCACATTTTTTAGGAATCTCTCAACTACCTCCCTTGAGGAAGTATATAAATACTAGAGTAATTAATTCGTACATACAATGACACTCATGTCAGTTGCAACCAATACAGAAAAAAGATTATTGTAAAATACATTTCATGCAACAATACTAAGGAATAATGGAAGGCAGGACCTGAATCCTATATGGGCCAAAAATTGTATTGGACTTGACGAGGTCCAACAGCACCATGAGTATATAATGCCCAGCCCAATCCAATTGAGCCCATGCTTAGAATACCTTGTGAACTACCTGCTCTATGAGTTGGGCCATCCCACGAGTTAAGCTGAATTGGGTCCGGCCCATTCACCCACATCAATCCATAACCAGGATCAGAATCCTAGTCAAATTCCCCTTTAACAAGATCCCAGATCTCACCCAAAGAGGAAAGCTTGAACCAATAAAAGCAGAAAATCTAATCTCTTTTCGAAAAGAGAACTCACCTACTAATTAGGACTTAAAAGTCCTATTAGGATTCGAACCCCTTGGGTTCACCATATAAACAGGGGCTGAACCTCTCATTAGGCATTCAAGAATCACCCTTAAGCTCTAGTATTCTTACTTCCAAGCTCTTTGCATACTCCGACGACCCCTACATCACAAAAGCTTCCCTTCAACCGCAAGGGCACCCTCTGTAGGTCCATCAAGATTGCTAGTGGCTCGTATCACAAGATTTTGTCTTCTTAAATTCAATTGTAAATTTTATCGTTTACAATTTGGCGCCCACTGTAGGGTCCATGCAATTTTTTGGTTCAAAACAATCTGTTGAAGTTGCTCCTCCTCCCCATTCTACTATCATGACCAACAACACAGAGACTCCTTTGTTCGATGTCGTGGCACAGATTGCAACTCTCATCTCACTGGTGGAGGAAAGCAACAACAAATATCAGGCTCTCGAGGCTTAGAATGTTGTCATCCGCATGGAGAACCAAACACTCCAAGATAAGGTAACACCGTTTTATTCTTTAGATTGGTCTCTTAACCAACATCATGCATCTTCTTCTTGACATCCAATTCAACCCAGATAGCTTTTCTTGTCCCCAAACAATGGAGCTACTGCCGACCATCATAACGCTGCTCCAACAACAACCATGTCAATGGTCGAGCCAAGTGGATTAGTAACCACTCCATCCATCACCCACTCGCCCTCCGAGACACTCACACAAGCCACATTTCCGCACCTACTGAATACAACCTTTTCCCATCAAACACATCCCATGAACCTAGAGACTGATCTAACCCAGCAAGGCTTCCTACACCGCTTGACTATACATGTCAATCCTAGAGTGTTTTTCCAATACCTAAAAAACCTATATGAACCTGTAACCACACCCTTTGAATGAACCCTAACCAAGCGGTTAATCGAGATGGAAGCAATGATCCAACACATCCCCGGTGTGCCAACCCCAAAGCTATGCCAAGTCACCGTTCGTAGATGCCATTACTCTCATAGATATGCCCCACAAATTCACCTTCCCCAACATGAAGCTATATGATGGAACCACCAACTCAGATGACCATATAGCCTCCTACAAGCAAAGAATGTTCGCCGCCACCATACCAAGAGATCTTTGTGAGGCGTGCATGTGTAAGAGCTTTAGCTCTAGCCTAGTAGGGCCAACACTCCAATGGTACACCAACCTTCCCAACCATTTCATTGTTTCATTCGCTCAGCTCACGGACACCTTTGTGGAGCAATTTGCTAGCAGCAAAAAACTAGAGAAATTATCCGACGACCTTTACCGAATCCGACAGCACCATAATGAGCCCCTTCGAGACTATATGGGATGCTTCAACCATGAAAAGGTCTCGATCCCTTACTGTAACCAAAAGACCATGGTTGGTGCCTTTAGGATAGGTCTCCTCCCAGGCAGAGAGTTATACAAGGAACTCACCAAGTTTAATTGCAACACCATGGAGGATGTACTGGCCCGTGCTTGGATCGAGATAAGGTAGGAGAAAGATGAAGTTCATAGAGCCAAACAAAATGCCTATGATGATTGTCACTTTCGTGCCCCGATAGACGTCATGACACAAGACCAGCAGAGCCTTATCAAGTAAGAAGAGTTTTTGTACGAGATAATAGACGCTATTTAGAACGCCTTCTGGCTCGGCATGGCGAGCCAATGTCCAACACACCACCCAAGTACAAGTTGCTCGACTACAACCTCAACATCGAGTTGGTGGAAATAGTAGCCGTTATGAAGGAAATGGGAAATGTGGTCAGATGGCCAGCCAAATTGAAATATCCTATAGCAAAGTGAGACACCACCAAATGGTGTGAATTTCATGGAGACCACAGCCATAATATCGCTGACTGTATTGCACTTCGCCTTGAGGTACCGAGCTGCTAAAAATGGGACATCTCTATGAATTTCTAACAGACAAGGGTAAAAGTACAATGACAAACAAAGACCGCCAAATTACTCCCCCACCAAAAGGTCCTCCAGCTGATGGAATGTATGGTGTTATCTCAGGCGGATCAGAAGTAAGTAGGGTGAGTTACTCATCAGCAAAGCGCCATGCCCGGGCTGCAGCTAACCCACAGTTCCAACATTCAAGCCAATATACAAAAGCCACCAACCTAACCATAAAGTTCATGCATAACGAGGCAATGACACTTTTGAACCTTCATCATGACGCACTCATGATTACCCTCCAGATTGCTAATATCATTGTCAAGAGGATCTTGATAGACTTTGGCTACTCAACAAACGTTATGTTCCTTGAAGCATTCAAGGTAATGGGGCTAGATGAGTCTAGCATCAACCGTCGCCCAACTATTACCGTGGGATTCAACTCAAAACAAAAGTACACTATCGGAGATATTGCCCTGCCGGTCTACACTGAAAGGTTCAACCATCAAACCACCTTCATGATATTAGACGCCCCCTCACCCTACAATGTGATTCTCGATTGGCTATGGATTCATAGCATGCAGGCTATGCCCTCAACTTTCTACTAGACTATCAGGTTCCCAACTAAGTGAGGCATCACAAAGATAAAGGGAGATCAAAAGGCCTCCAAAGATTGTTATCAGAATGCCTTCAAAAAAAATCATGGCACCATGTAGGAATTACAGACCCCTCCAACTGGAAAAGCAGAGTTGGACCAACCACTTATGGAGGAGTTGGATGAGATCTAAATTCACCCAGATTTTTCGGACTAGAAGATAGAAGTAGGAGCCTAGCTTTCACTTGATATTCGAAGAAAGCTTATCAATTTTCTAAAGGAGAACCTCAAAGCTATTATGCACCAAATGAACACCGACTCGGACTATCCTTATGTGAGACAAAAGAGAAGAAGGTTTGCCCCAAAGGGAAACAAGGTGATCAATAAGGAGGTGGAGAAACTACTTAGCAATGGCTCGATTCAAGAGGTCTAATATCTAGATTGGTTGGCAAATGTAGTGGTAGTGAAGAAGAAGAATGGGAATAGAGAGTTTGCATTGACTTCACAGACCTAAACAAGGCTTGTCCCAAGGATTCCTTCCCACTCCCCCACATAGACATGCTAATGGATGCCACCGCTAGACATGAACTACTAAGCTTCATGCACGCCTTCTTCGACTACAACCAGATATTTATACATCCGGATAACTAAGAGAAGACCGCATTCATCATCGAACGAGGCATCTACTGCTACAAAGTGATATCGTTCAACCTAAAGAATCCTGGAGCCACCTACCAACAACTTGTGAACAAAATATTCTCCATTCTACTAGGGGACTCCATGGAAGTATACATTGACAATATGCTGATGAAGTCTTTAATCGTTGAGCAACACCTTGACCACCTTTGAGGTGCTGCAAAAATACAATATGAAATTGAATCCAGCCAAGTGTTTCTGTAATACCCCACTTGAAATACGTAGCCACTGTTTATGGTATGGCCTAAAGGAATCCTGAATTGCCCCTAAATGAGTTTATGTATTGTTCATGTTGTTTGGTTGGTCTTCAGTTGAGTTTATGTTTTGGGTTTGGTTGAGTGTGTACCCTGGAATTGATCAAGACTTAGCAAATTTTGGAATTTCAGTCTTCGCCGGGGCGAAGGAGAAGCTTCGCCGCGGCGACGTTGATTTTGTGTTGGTGGTGTTGGTTCTGGACTATTTCGCCGGGGCGACAGGAAGTTTTTCGCCGCGGCGACGGGACGGCAGAAAAGATTCTTGAGTTTTCTAGAGAATTCTCTTTTGGGACACAATGACCAATCTACCCCTAATTAGTAGGAAAAGTGGGGAGTAAAATGAAAGGAAATTTTATAGAGATTGTGTTTAGATGGGGGTGTATTTGTAAAGAATCAAAGGATATAGATGGAATTTTCAAGAAAGAGTAAGGGCAAAATGGGAAAGAGTGGATATTATATGAGTTAATAAGGGTTGAGTTCTCTAAACCCATTCATTTTACCCATTTCCACCGCCTCTTCATCTCCCATTTTCTCTCAATTTCTCACTCAATTTTCTAAGGGATTTTTGAGAGTTTTGAGTTGGAATTTGACAAAGAAGTGATCCTAAGCAAGAAGAGGTAAGAATCCCTACTTTAGAGATGAATTTTATTCATGTAAGGGTTAAGTTCTTACTAAGTTTATGCTTAGGAAATAAGGGAAAGTTATGATCCAACAAGAGTAGAGAGCTTTAGTGGAGACTACTCAAGTATGAGGTAAGTAAATCCAACTCAAGCTAAAGTTTAAGAAATTCTTAAGTAGAGATTTATTTATGCATGTATATATGATGCTTATTGAGAAATTGAGTAGAGATGTATGTTTATTTGTTGAGAAATTGAGTTGAGAAGAGTATTTATGTTATGTTTGTTGGATATTTCCTTTATGGAGAGTGTTTATGAGTAATAGTTTGAGATGAAGTTGGAGGAGATTGAGTATGTATTTTGGGAGTGTTTTTCTATGATAGGGTTTATGCCCATAGAAGGGAATTTACTTCCAATTCTGGATGGTTAAAAAGAGAAGGAGAGTTGTAGTTAGAGAAGAGTTTTTATATGCACATAAGTTGTTTGATGAAATGCCTAAGTGAAATCTGCCCTGTCACTGCCGTAACTTTCTAAGTGATTTTTGGGCATCTTACGGATTGAACTGGGCTGAGACCAAAACATAGAAGTTATAGCCCTGTTTCTAAGCTTTGAAACGAGACCAGAACCGTAGTAATCAGAGGTGTATAATGAAAGTTATGGTCTTTTTAGTGTGACCTGTGCAGAATGACAGTTTTGAGGAAATCTTGCATTTGGCATTTCAAAAGTGCATTAATGAGTATGAACCATCCATATGCATTAGTTGTGCATTAAGAAGTAGCTTGAGAGAGAATATAGAATGTTGAGTATGAGCTACCTTATGAGTACTAGCTTAAGAGTAGAAAATTTTGAGTATAAGCTATACTATAAGTAATAGCTTGAGTAAGAAAGAGTAGAGAATGTTGAGAATAGCAACTCTTAAGAGTAAAGAGAATGAGAATACTCTGATAGCAAAGAGAAAAGTTGAGAAAGAGTAGAGAATTACTCTAAGAGTTAAGCTACATTATGATGAGTAGCTAGTGATGAGTAGCTAGAGAAAGGGTAGAGATCTTGTGCACAAGAGTTGAAGAGGAGAATAGAGTAAGTTGTGCGATGGGGAACCTGTGAGTGACGAGTAGAGTCACGCAGAGTGGAACACGAGGTTCCAGCCGTGCCTCCGGTTAGATGAGGCCGTGACCGTCACGCAGAGTGGAACACGAGGTTCCAGCCGTGCCTCCGGTTAGATGGGGCCGTGACATTCAGAGAGAGAGAGATTGTACACTCATATGGCCAAAGGTTCCGAATCCATGCATAACTAAATCCGATCGGTAGCGAATTGAGCAGAAGTCACGTAGAGTGGTAGCGCCCAGCCGTGCCTCCGGTCAGATGAGGTCGTGACATTCCAATGAGTAAGAATGAGAAGGAAAAGAAATAGATAGAACAGAGATGAGAAAAAGCTAAGAGTTAAGCTACATTATGAGTAGTAGCTTGAGTATGAGTACTAGCTTGAGAAAGAGATGAGCAAACATGAGAAAGAGTAAGAGAGAGATAAGAGCATAGAGTAGGTTATGCGATGGGGAACCCGTGAGTAATGGGTAGAGTATTCCCGCATGTACGCCGCATTGAGAGAGCGGCATGAGTATCAGATAGAGAAGTGGTGTAGCCCGTGAGAGTGCATGCGGATGAGGGCTATACCCGAGTACCCGAGAGAGAGATTATACACTCACGTGGCCAAGGGTTCCGAATCCATGCATAACCAAGTCCGATCGGCTAGAATGAGAAGAAGTCACATAGAACGGGAGCGAGTCCCGACCGTGTATCCGGTAAGATGAGGCCGTGACTACTAGAGAGAGAGTTAACAGAAAAGAGTTATGAGAAAGAGAAACAGAAATGAGAATGAGTTAATAGCAAGAATTAAAGAATGAGAAGCTTGAGAAAGCTTGAGAAAGAATGAGATAGAAAGAGAGAGAATATGAGAAAGAATGCGAAAGTTTGAGTTAGTAAGAATAAAGAGTAGAAGAAAGAAACATGCAGTTCTTTTACATTAGTTGCATGTACACCTCATAGATGTATGTACCATGAGTTCTTCCATGGTTAGTGAGAGTATAACGAGAATGAGAAAGAGAACCATGATTTTCCTTCATGGTAAGTATGATGAGAATAAGAGAGAACCATGATTGCCCTTCATGGTGAGTAAGAATAAGAGAAAAAGAACAGAGAGAAAGAAAGAGTAAAGAGCAGAACAGAGTTAAAGGAGAATAACAGTATTAGAAAGAAAGAGAAAAACAGTGAGAAATAGAAATAGCAGAACAGTCGAGTAAGGAAAGAACCAAAGAATGAGTTGCGGGGATATTAGTAGAGGATTTACTTACTGAGCATTGTTGTGCTCACCCCGTTGTTCTTCTCTGTTTTGCAGGAATTAGGAGCAGCGGTCGGATGGACGTCGAGGAGCGAAGAGTATTGGCACCACTGTCCACCAGCTATGATATTTTGTATTAATTAGAAAGTTTTTAATACATGGTATTTTGTATTTGTAAAGAAGTATATTTTTATGAGTAAAGAAAAAATTTGAGCCCACTATCTTTCATATTATATACATATCTATATTTTACATGGTACGTATTCTAAGAATAGTACTAAAGAGGAGTTGTTACAGTTTCATCGGTGTATCTTCTGGCAATTTTCTAGGGTATATGGTGACGCATTGTGGCATTAAAGCCAATCTAGCTAAGATTAGGGCGGTTCTGGGCATCCCATCCCCAACCAGCATAAAAGACATGTAGCGTCTCATAGGGAGAATAGCCAGCCTAAGCCGGTTCATCTCCAAGTCGGCAGAAAAATGCCACCTCTTATTCGCCGCCCTTAGGAAGTCAAAGAAATTTGAATGGACTCAAACATACAAAGAGGCATTAGTTCAACTGAAACGGTACTTCACATCCCCTTCATTGCTTTCCAAGCCAAAGACGAGGGAACAACTCTTCACTTATCTGGTAGTATCAGAATTCGTGACATCCATCTTACTGATTTGAGAGGAAGAAGGAAAGTAACTACTCGTCTACTACACCAGTAAGTCCTTACTCAATGCTGAGACTCGATACAACCAACTTGAGAAACTGGAACTTACCCTAATCACAGCCGCACGGAAGTTGTGACCATACTTTCATTGCCACTCGATCATAGTTTTGACCTCCTACCCATTGAAAAAAATACTCCACAAGCTAGATCTCTCGAGTCGGCTCATCCAATTGGTGGTGGAACTGAGTGAATTTGATGTCTCCTTCCAACCCTACATCGCGATCAAATCTCAAGTGCTAGCTGACTTCATTGTCGACTTTGCACCTAGCACTTTTATCTAGGTGGAGAGGGAACTCCTATGTCTGACAAATCATGGACCCTCCAAGTGGATCCTACAGTAGATGGCTCAAGCAATGTTAATAGCAACGGATTAGGACTGGTGCTCATCTCCCTAA